ATAAATTAAGGATCTTATAATTAATAGAATGAATATGGTCTTAATTGACGGAAACATTCATAGTGAGTTTGTGACTACTATAGAGACATAGGCCAAAAATCAGGGTTATAGGGACATAGGCCAAAAATCAGGGTAGCAAATTCCTGGAAATTTCTTTGTTACGTGGTAATCTTAATTATATGTTTGTTTTACATTATTAGTTGTAAGTTTAAAAAATTAGCCAGAATGTCTATTGGAATTTTATTTGAATAATCAAAATTACAATCAAATACTGAAATGTGAATTTCATGAATTAATAATTTCAAATATGTTTAACCAAACAAGCCAACCCACTAGGCATATGATGCTTGTTAGTCAAAATGCCTAATGTGACTCACTTTTTTCAACTCCAATGCACTAGGCATATGCTTAGGCATTTTGGCTCAGCTCACATTCACTAGCTACATGTAGCTAGCCTTCAAGGCTAGACAAAATGTATTTAAGAGCATCTCCAACGGTAGTAGGCATTTTACCTATCTAAATATTACTATAAAGTATATATTTTATTTTGCCTATCAATTGTTTTATGTTTTTACTCCAACCATGCTCTTTATTTTAGCTATTCATCCAAAACACTAGTTGGTACATTAGTGTGTACATTAATTAATGCATGTAACACAATCGATATTTTAATTATAAATTAAGGATCTTATAATTAATAGAATAAATATGGTCTTAATTGACGGAAACATTCATAGTGAGTTTGTGACTACTATAGAGACATAGGCCAAAAATCAGGGTTATAGGTACATAGGCCAAAAATCAGGGTAGCAAATTCCTGGAAATTTCTTTGTTATGTGGTAATCTTAATTATATGTTTGTTTTACATTATTAGTTGTAAGTTTAAAAAATTAGGCAGAATCTCTATCGAAATTTTATTTGAATAATCAAAATTACAATCAAATACTGAAATGTGAATTTCATGAATTAATAATTTCAAATATGTTCAACCAAACAAGCTCAGAAGGTATTGATCATAATCTTTATCTTTTTTTAACATTCATCACAATTAAAAAATGTTCATAAGAGCAACTTACCATTTTTGGTGAGCTCATTAATTTTTTTTTTTAAAATATAGAGTCCATAAATTTGAATGAATTATATTTCATTTATATATTGTTTACACTAAAAAAATATGTAAACAAATTAATTTTGTCACTGAATTACACAATTAAGATTCTGTTTGGTAATGTTTTCAATTTTCAATTTATTATCTACAGAAACCTGTTTTTGTTTATATTTACAAAAATGGTCAGTTATTATTTTTTTTTGTTTTTTGTTTTTTGTTTTTTAACATGGTTAGTATAATAAGTTTTCAAAACAAAAACATATATTTTATTTCTCAAGGACATGAAGGCGGAGTTGGAAAATTGGTGGATGGATTGACAAAGAGGGTGAATAAAGAAATAAAAACTTATTCTCAACACAATTTTTTGTGTTCACATTTTTTTCAAAATATAAAAAATAAAACTGTTACCAACTGTACTTTTATTTTTAATTTTTAATTTTTTTAAAAACAAAAAAAAAAACTTTAAATTTAAAACAAAAATATATTACCAAACTTGCCCGCATCAACACAATTATTTAATTTTAGAAAATGTTTAAAACTTTTTATAAAAAAAAATCAATTTGATTTATAATAATTTCGTATGTTAAATGTCAGTTTTTAATTTATTATCCATTTAACTATATAGAAAACAAACGGGTAAATTATAAACACATCCCTTGAGATTTGTTTAAATTATAAATTATTTCTTGTAGTTTTAAAAATTAGATTATGCCTCTGTTTGGCAAGTTGATTTTCAGGTTTTTTTGGCTATTTTAGCCACAAAAAACAAAATAGGCTATTTTAGCCATAACAAACAAAACATCACATCCAACCTATAATCATTACATTCTTCTCTCACAAAAAAAGTCAAAAAAGCCAAAAAGCCAAAAAGTCCTTTCCAAACCAAGCTTTTTAGCCCAGGCTAAAATAGCCAAAAAAGCCAAAAAGCCAAAAAGCCAACCTACTTCCCAAACCAAGCCATATGGTTTCTAATTTCATAACAAATAGATCTTATTATTTAAATCATCAAGTTAATTAATAGTTTTTAATAATGTTAAAATTCTATTTTAATTAATAATTTAGATAATTTTATTATTATATAGATAAACAGTTAGAAATTTTACTTTTTTAATTAATTCTGTTAAATAAAAAAAATTAACAAAAAAATATTTGTAATTTTTTAAATCACAAAAGACAATCTATACTTTAAACAAATCTTATAAAGTATATTTATAATTTATCTCTTTAAATAATCAAAAATATTTGAGAGCATTAAAAATAAAGTACTATTAATAAGAGTCCCAATGAACTGACCCCCATTAATGTGATGACTGAGTCTTTTTAAGGTGTTCTGTTGTCCGTTCCAAGATAAGAGACTATAACCTGGGAACTTGCCCCGACCTCCCAAATATATGCTCCGCTTAAGTCAGGACTCAAGCAGCGGGGGAGCATTGGGCCCACACCAAATACTGTGGTAGCAACAACTTGAGACTAACCTCCTAATCAACTGCCCTACGCCCAAGAGATTGGCCCAAGAGATTTTGAACTTGGGACCTAGGATCTTAACCCCCAAGCCTTTACCAAGTTGCCAAACACTATTGATTATCTTCTCCAATATTTGATCCAAAGAACACAAAATATGACTAAGGCCTCGTTTGGCAAGTGTTATTTTTAGTCAAAAAGTTACTAAAAAAATTAAAAAGCCAACAACACATACCAAAAAGCTAAAGATTTTATTTTCTCTTTACTTTTTGCACATCTTTCCATAAAAAATAAAAAAATTATTCTAAATATATTATTTTTTTTTTACATCACATTTTAACTAAAAAATTAAAAAATTACTAAAAAAATCTATTACCAGACGAGGCCTAACAGTTGATGTTTGCACCAGTTGGATGAAAAGAATCCTGTCTAGCCCTTGATCCAAGGAAACAAAATATGATGGTGACTAAGATCTTTGTGTCTTTTGAATTAAATGTAAGATGACGAGTGAAAACAAAATGATAGGAATCCAAATCTCAGCCGATTGAGAAATTAATGCTAGGTTCACAATTTAAATTCACTAGAATGTGATATGTCAATTCTTTTATTTTTTTTTTTTTTTTTCTATGTTTAATCAGAAACGAAGAAGAAGAGGGGAGAAGAAGAAGAAGAAGAAGAAGAAGAAGAAGAAGAGAAGAGAGAAGAAGAAGAAGAAGGGAAGGGAGAGCTGGACAGGAGGGGGCATCAACCAGGGGCGGAGGAGCGGCGGAGGCACGGCGGAGGCTGAGCTGCTGCACGAGCACGAACCAGCACGAGCCTGTCGTCGGCAGAACCAGCACCAGCCCGCCGTCGTCCTCCGCCATCGTCCTCGTCCTCCGCCGTCGTCCTCCTTCTCTCTTCCTCTTCTCGTCCCCGATCCCCGATGGTAGAAATTTCCCCGCCCCCGTCCTCGATCCCTGACAGGGAGCCTATCACCGCCCCCATCCCCGGCCCCTAACGGGGATCGGGTTTCCCCGACACCGAGAATTCCCCGGCCAAAAAAAGAAAAAAAAATGCACGAATATGAGCTCAAATATACATATATTCATCATCAACAACAACAATATGTATTCATCAACAACAATCATCTGTTCATCATCATCAAAGATCTGAGCTCAAAATGTAAAAAATAAAAAATAAAAAGAGAGTGAGAAATCTGATCTGATCTGATCTCCCTTCAACATGGTTTCCACTCAAATCAAGCATTTTCAATGACTCAAACTAAGAAATCTGATCTGGGATTGGACCTCAAATGAGATTGTTGCTGAGATTCAAAGTCTCCAAAGACCTACTGAGCTCAAAATGTATAGATCGCCGTGATAGAGGGACGACGGCGCTGCAGCTGCGCAGATCGCCGTGATGGAGAGACGACCGCGCTGCAGCTGCGCAGATCGCCGTGATGGAGAGACGACCGCGCTGCAGCTACGTAGATCGCCGTGATGGAGGGACGACGGCGCTGGAGAGGAGGGGGGTCGGGGCCAACGGTGGTGGTGGTGTCACCGTGTGTCGGTGACTGTGAGAGAGAGAGTTGACAGAGAGACAAGAGACAGTGAGGAAGAGAAGAACAAGAGTTGAGAGAGAGTGAGGGAGAGAAGAACGAGACACACAGAGTTGAGAGAGTAAGATGAGAGTCAGAGTGAAAGAGTGAGATGAGAGAGAAATATATAATTGTAATACAACTAATAGGTAGTATATAATATATGCGGGGAAGCTTCGGGGAAACTTTGGGGCGGGGTCGAGCCGGGGCCAGGGCCGAGAAATTAATCCCCGTCCCCGGCCCGAAAATTATCGGGGAAAAAAATATTTATCGGGACGGGGCGGTCCGGGTCCCCGTCGGTCCGGATTAATATTACCATCCCTAATTAGAACCAATTAGTGCATATAGTTTTATTAAAAAATTAGATTTAATTTTAAAGTCTAATAATGTGATAATTAATTAAAATATTAAAAGTAAAACTCTCTCTCATATATTTTTTAATTATCAATCAATATATAACTTACAAATAAAAAATGGATTTACAAAAAAATGGACTTATCTTTTTCCTTTACAATACAATATATAACTTACAAATAAAAAATGGATTTACAAAAAAGTAGACTTATCATTTTCCTTTACAATAGATTTGGTTGGAAAATTTAAAAAAATTTGAAAAAAAAAAATAAATAAAATATATCTATCTTTTATATAATTTTACATATTTTTATTTTTTTTCAAACTTCTCTTCAAATTTTCCGACCACCTTAAGCAAATTCCATTGTCCCGTTATTATAAATATAATATAAATAAATTTATAAATCTAAGATTTCTCGTTAAAGTGTCAGATGATATATTTGTAAATTTGTAGCTAAACATGTCTCATTTCCAAACACTATCACTTTATAAGCGCAGCAGAATGTATGTTCTTCCCATCAACTCAGCTCTCAAATTCCCTTCAACCAAGCAGAGCATTTCCCAAGCAGATCATCCCCCTCTTTCTCTGTCTAGTGCCAAACCTAGAGAGAGAATCACACACACAGACATATATATACACATATAGAGAGAGAGGGAGAGAGAGAATGGGGAGTGGGAAGAGATTTGCGGTTCTTCTCTGCGCAGAAGATTCCGATTACGTGAAGAAGAAATACGGAGGGTATTTTGGGGTTTTTCTGAGAATGCTGGCGGAGGAAGGCGAGGCCTGGGACGTTTTCAGAGTCTCCAGCGGGGAATTCCCCGGCGACGGTGAGATCGGAGGCTACGATGGCTTCGTGATCACCGGAAGTTGCAGCGACGCTCACTCCAACGACCTCTGGATCTGCAAGCTCTTGAATCTGCTCAAGAAATTGGATTCTATGAAGAAGAAAGTTCTAGGCGTTTGCTTTGGCCACCAGGTATTTTCTATATATATATATAGATATAGATGTGTGTATCTATTTTCTTTTATTCTTGTTTTTGTTTTTATTAAAAATGTGGTAGTGGTCTGTCCCTTTTAGTTTGATGATACACTCCTCTGCAGAGTTTTCTGTTTGTTTCTGTGGTTACTGTTTTTCCAAGTATAAAAAACTTTCCATGAAATTAAGGTCATTCTAGTTCAAATCAGAATAAAAAACTGATATTTTTCTTTTTAAAATTTGTATTAAAAAAAATTCTAATCCGTTTAATCTTGTAAAATCTAAACATATAAATTTTTTAAATTAATTCATTAAAGGAAAAAAAATCTCTAACATACCTAAAGGTAATAATGTATGAGTCTTTAATATTTGTTTTTGTTTTTCATATATTTTCCTAGGAAACAAACAGAGCGACAGGAATTGGAAATTACAGGGGTTAGGAATTTGGGGTTTTCACGTGAGAATGGGATTTTTATATGTTGACCAAATTGACCCTCTCCTTACAATTTTGATAGATGAATAGTTTGGTCTTTTCACATCTTTGTTTGGGATAAATTATTTTAGTTATTTTAATTTAATAAAAAAAAGTTATAATTAAAATAATAATTGACTTTTTTATAATTAATTTGATAATTATAAAAATAAAATAAAATAATTTTAATTTAAAAATATATTTTATCTTACTAATTAAAATAATCTCTTTATCTTTATTTAATTAATTTAACTCCAACCCACGTTCAGAACGATAATATTTTAGGCAAAAGGCCGAATGGTTAAGTTGGGCGTTGTTGGGTATGTTTGGTTTGGGTTTGTAAAGTGATTTTGTAAAAAAATTTAAATAAATTTGTTTGGTTTGTAAATTTTTTAAAATAATTTTTAAAATCACTCTCTCTTTTATTTATTAACTAATTACTTTTTTTTCATCTCCTTTCTCATTTTTAATTATTTTTTCTTTCACATACATCTACTCAATTATAATAAAATATCAAGTTATTCTAAACTCTTAAACTCCAAAATTATTTTCAAAATACACAACCAAACGAAATAAAAAAATTTCTAAATTCTTTTCTTAAAATAATTTTTAAAAACTACTCTCTCAAAAACAATCCATACATACCCGTTTGTTTGTACTTTGACGTGGTGTGGACGCGCTATGAGGCGCGTTTTAATCTACTGAAGTACACATAAAATGAAAATGTCTGGTATCAGTGTCAAAGCTGACGAGTAAGGATCCTTTAGAGTTTTTTGTTTTAAAATTTTTTAGAGTGGTGTGTTGTATGGTTGAAATTTAATGACAAGTCACATCAATTTTTTAGCATTAAATCTCATTCATACAACACACCACTTTAGAAAACTTTAAGAGAAAAAAAATTCTAGAAAATCCTTGGTGAAAGGTGATTGGTTTACTGTGTGTGCCTCGAACAGACTGGACCGTTGAGTAAACATTCTCTCTTTCCTCTCTTGACTGCCTGCTCGGTGGGCCATTGAATCCACTTTCTCAATTTCAATTGAATTTTAATGACTTAAACTGTTTTTATTTTAAAATTTATTATGTATATTATATCGGTAAAAAGTTAAATTATTAAATATTAAAAAAATTAAAAATTATTTATTAAAAAAATTTAATAAACAGTTTTATTATTTAATAAAATTTTTATCTCACATGACTTTTAATATTTGATTGACTTAATTTTTTATAAGTATAATATACATGACAAATCTTAAAATATGAACAATTTAAATTATTAAAATTAAGTCTAAAATCGATCCAATAACTCCCAAAGTAGGAAACTAAAGAGAGAATCGTTGAGCTGGTTGCAAGTACGATTTCTAACATTTTAGATTCATCACATATAGACGATAATCACCTGTCGTGTTTAATATTAGGTTTGATTTGGCATTAGTTATTTTGATTAAAATTAGTAAACAAAGATAAAACTCGTTAATTTTAGCTTATGTTTGGGAAGTTGGGTTTGAGGATGTTTTGACTAAAATAGTCACAAAAAATAAAATTGATTTTTTAACTTGATAAAACGAAGCATCACATCTAATCCAAAATTATTACATTATTTCTCTCACAAAAAAGTCAAAAGTCATTCCTAAATCAGGCTTTTTAGCCCCAGGCTAAAATAATCAAAATAGTTAAAAAGCCAACCCACTTCCCAAACGAAACCTTAATAAGATAAAATATTATATTTAAATAATTTGTTAAAGTGTATTATATGATAAAAAAGTGATAAAAGTGGGGTCTAAAAATGTGTGTTAAAGTGTATTAAAAGTTTGTTAATTTTAGAGAATGAGTGGTGATGCAATAAATGTGTTAAAGTGTCTATTAAGGGATGTGTTGAAGAATATATATATATATATATATAGGTTGCAGAAGCTGGCATGGAAGATGGGTGGACGTCCGGCCAGTCAACTGTTCAATGACAAATTTTTATTTTTATTTTCTTTTCTTGAAGGGTTCAGACGTCCAGAGAGACGATCGGCCGGACGACCCTACGGCACTTCCCCACATCCCCCTCTCTCTTTCTCGCTAGCTAAAATGCTAGCCACAGTTAACGAAGAAGTTAACAGCTAACACTAGCACAACCCACTAACAGACTCTTTAACACTTCCATTGTGAGCCCAAAAGTTACTGTGACTGGCTAAAATTTTGGCCGCTGACCCTAGCACACTTATAAACACGTTCATTGTGGATACTTTAATATTAGGCTTGATTTGGCATTAGCTATTTTGATTAAAATTAGTCAACAAAGATAAAACCTATTAATTTAGTTAATAAGATATAATATTATATTTAAATTATAATTATTTTATTTTTTCGCATACAATCATTAAGGGTTGTTTTGGGAAGATGGTTAAAAGTTGATTTTTTTGAATTTTTTTAACCTTCTTTAAAAAAATGTGTAAAAAATATGAGAGATGATATGATCCAAAATGTGTTAAAAGTTACGAAGTGGCTTTTAATCCACCTCCCAAAAGTGGCCTAAATCAATTTTAAAAAACTCAAAATTTATCTTAAATACAATATTTTTAACCCAGTTAAAATAATTAAAAAGTCAGGTTAAATTAGTTCATCCCAAATGAGGGCTTAATATGTCATGTAAAATTTTGAGGCTTAAATTAATTTTAAAAAGTCAAAATTTATCTTAAATACAATTTTTTTAACCCGGTTAAAATAATTAAAAAGTCAAGCTAAATTAGTTCATCCCAAATGAAGGCTTAGTATATTTGTAAAATTTTAGGACTCGTTTGGAAACATTCAATTATTACCTAAAAGTAAAAAATACACTAAAAAGTCAAAAAAACTAACCAATTATACAAAAAAAAATCAAAAAATTAAAAAATCAAAAAATAACATGTTCTCAAATAAAGTAAAAAATGTATTAATTTTTTGCACTTTTTTTCTCTCTGTTTTTTGCACTTTTTTTTTTTTTGTAAAAAATCAAAAAATTATTCTAAATATATTAATTTTTTTTATTTCATATTTTAACCAAAAAGTTAAAAAATTACTAAAATAGCATGTTCTCAAATAAAGTAAAAAATGTATAAAAATATAAAAATTACTAAAAATAATTATTAGTATTATTAAAAATGTATGAAGTATATTAAAATATATAAAAAAATATATTTATAAGTATTTTAAAATATATTAAATATATAAATATTTGGATATTTTATAGTTGTTATCATTACTATTACTACTTACCCAAAAAAAAAAAAAAAGCATAACTATTAGCCGTGTTTGATTTCATTTTTAAAATATTTAGTAAAAAACAAGTTAAAAATTTATTTGATAAATGGTGGGTGAAAAAAATTAAAACATTCATCATTTTGTCATGACTTTTTTTTGGAGAAAAATGTTCTTAGTGTTAATTTTTTATTTAATAGATTTTAAACAAATTTTTAAGGGGTAATTAAAAGAAAAACCTCCAGAGTTTGATCGTTATAACAAAATAAAAATCTTAATTTTTTAATTTTGTCAAATTTTCAATCTAAACTATAAACTTATTTTTATTAAGGAAAAATTGACAGAAAAATGATATACTAGACTATCATTTTTTTTGGCCCATTTTACCTAATTGAAATAAATCAAAAATTTAAAATTTATTTTATAGAAGAATCAAATTTTGAAGGTTGTTGTTGTTGTTTTTTTTTTTTTTTTGTCCAAAAACAAAATCAAACATCTGTACTATAGCTATCACTTTTTGACAAGTGGTTTTTTAGAGTTTTCACCTTTGTTCTTTAATTTTTTCTTTTTTTTTTACTTTGTCAGTTTTTTTATTTATTTTTGTGTTCATTTAAACTAGTATGTCCTATATGAGTTTTTGGTTCTTGGAAACTTTTTTCCAAATTTTATATTTTTAAAAAAATTTGTTGGAGTTTCTAGTTTAAGCCTCACAAGGGCCATTAATTCCAATGAATAATCTTATACAATTTTTTTTATACAAATTTCATTAACAAACTGATGTGTTGAATTGTTTTTACCATTTAATTTAAGTCGCTTCTATTTAAATTTCAAGTTTCTATAACTACATGGTATGTTAGTTAAATATTCATTTGTATAGCATTTTACAATTTCGAATCTACTCCAATACTAATATGGACCACTATCAGTAACTCATCCCTATGGTCCCACGCTTAGACAAATTACACAGATAATCCCTTTAATTTGTCTTTTATATCGATTGATCTCTATAATTTTAATTATATCAATTGTCTTTGAATTTTTTGTATTGTGTCAATTTAAGTCTAATTTTAATTATATCAATTGTCTTTCAATTTTTTGTATTGTGTCAATTTAAGTCCAATTGGTAATGGCCATTTAAAAAATAAACTAAAATCAAGGGCATAATGGTCCGTTTACTATTCTTAAATTGATTGTGAGGTTAGTTTTCAATTTAAAATTGTCTATTCCCTTTTGAATTCACCATTTTGTGGTTGATTTCTGTCAAAATTCTTAACAAATGTTATTCATTAGAAAAAATTCAGACAAC